TACTAATAAATGCATGATTTATGTTGATTTATTGATTATGTTGCTATTTTTTAACATTTAAATGGAAAAAATAAAAGTGTTATTCATGGCTATTTTTTTTTATCTTTGAATAATTTATCATTGAATATGTAAACTAATTTATTTCAGTTAAAAAAAAAAGCATGATTTTTTAAAAAATCAGTTTTAATACAGGATTTTATTACTGGGGCCATTTTTACCTACCTGTCATTTGGAGCCATTTTTACAGGGGCCATTTTTTCCGGGGCCATACTGTACACCGTATAGCTAGGTAATGGACTAATATTTTGGTAATTATTAACTACTTGGGTTTTTTTTTCTTTTTGCTCAGCAACTTTTCAGTGGGAGTGTGTCTGTGGGAGAGGGGTGCATCCCCACCCGGGACATGCTTTTCCCTTCGCTCTATCAAACTTAACACAGTGTCGCCAGTGTCATCTTCTTTCAGTGTCATGTTGAATCTAGAGTGTAAGTTTGACTATATACAACATGAATCATGTGCATGCATTGCATACAGTATATTAGGCGAGACTTTTTTTTTACCTTGTTTCGTGAACATATTTTTTTGAAGATTGTCAGAGAAGGGCAGAATAAATAATGTTTTCTTATTTAGCAAATAGTTTTGTCAAAAACATCCGGACAGCAGAGAAAATAAAAACATATTATTGGTCAATGTAAAAAGTGTAATAATAAGATGCTTAAATGCTGTAAATCTTATTTTTGGAGATTGCAAGGCAGCGGCGGGAATAACAAAATAAAAAAAACTTTATTTTTACGCTAATTGGACAGAAATAAAATTCAATTTTCATGAGAGGGCCGCGGGATCGCTAAAGAAGGTACAAAAAATGTCTTGCCTCAATGAGGCACTGTAAAAATGGTGTATTATGTTCATACAAGAGTGTTTACATTAATATTTAACCATTCTGCATAGAATAATATATTTATGCTAATACATGTATAGTCTTCAGTGAGGGATTCAGACTTGTAGATAGGGATGGGGTGCACATTTTCACTGTCGTAATTGCCAATTTTTTTTACAAGAGTAGATTCTGCTTTGATTACCCACTCTTCCTGTTTTCTGCCTTTGATTCTGTGACCTTGTTTACACTACACAAGTTGTAATTAATATTAAATGACAAATTATTTGCTAATCTTAATTATTCAGTCCAGTGTTACACTGAATGACTGAATTTGTAAGTGCAAGGTTTATAACTTATGATATAAATCACTCGTAATATTAAACTTGGTATGGAGAAACACTCATCAGTGATACAATTGTTTATTTTTTTTTATTTTCAACGTGTCGTTAAAAACTCCAAGGGATACTATACTAGCTACTCAATATGCAGACACACCAACCATTTAGGAATTAGCTAAACTAATTACTCCACGGACCAACTGAACGGAAATCTAACTGGATGGCAACAGTACGTTTCTTTTATAATATACTTTTTGGTCATTTAGATTGAAATTGTATGGTATGTACTATATCTGTCTCTTATACCCATCT